AGTAGCAGCATCCTGCAGTAAGTCTACTACTGCCTCCACAGCTAACGAGAGCTGCATCCGAGACGCCCGTGACGTCACTGCTGTAGTGGTGGCAGTCTGCTACTACATCCACAGTTACTGCAGCGTAGAATCAGGTCTATGAAATAATGTAAAATGTTGGATAGTATTTTAATTTTTTATTGTTTCAAATCATTTACATTATGAGAGAACATCTTGTTTAACTAGCTGGCTTGTTTCTGCTCGTGACTTTGGGCGAATCTAAGTACCTGAAAAAGAATTTAAAAAATCTAAGTTAAATTCAAATTATCTCAGAGTTCAACTCAAACGTGTTCTGGTCCATCTGTATCACAGCGACGCCAACTCATCGATTGAACTTTCTATGTTACAGGTGGCCAGCATGCCAGCATCAAGTCCGGGCACATCCCTTTGGACAAGAACCAGCATCACTTCTTATTTTACTATGACTGTACCATAAAAATGAAATAAATAGCAGCATTACTGTCAGTGACACTCTGATGATTTGGCTCCACTTCCCCCCTAAAATCAACACACAACTAAATATTTTGGGCTCAAGTAATAAAGCCGTATATATGGAATGAGAATAATAAGCAGTAACAGGGCTCATACCCGTCAGGGAAGTAAGGGAGAAAAAAAAGGTGTCTGGAAGTCAGGGAAAAGTCAGGGAAAACTTTTCAGTGTGGGCAAATGCTGGTCATGGCCCAGTTAGTTTCACCAGAGATAGCATACAATGCAGATTTAGCATAAAAAAAAATTCTCGCTTGCTCCGCTCGCAATCATATGCGCCATCTTAGTTGTTCTTTCTACCAATATCCTGATTATCATTATTCAGTGATGACTAGTCTATCTTTGCGTCCGGTTTTTACTGTATTTTCCTACTAAACTGACCTCCTATTGCACTCAGAAAAGTCATGGAAAAATGGGATATTTTGGTCTGGAAGTCAGGGAAAAGTCAGGGGAAATGGAAATTGGGATCTGGTTTGAACCCTGAGTAAAGAAAAGACAAGAAACCCCCAAATAGAAACAATACCGAAATAAACTTTTACCTAACATGACTACCATAATGAACTGGTATTTTCTGTTAAAATTACATTGAAAGTCAAAACTTACCAGATTCATTCCTGCGATCATGAGAAAAAGGGGCCATTTCTCCTGCTGTGTGCTGCAATGCCAACACAACTAGTATCTGATGATTCCACTGGCTGCACGACTGATGTCCAGGACAGGTACACCTCAGGCCGATCTTCCTGCAACAAACCAAAGAGTTGATTTTAGTTGAAGAAACAGGATGTAAAAGAGTCAGGAAGCACGCAATTTCGACAGAGGAGGTGAAAGGCGATTCTCCCAGACCAATCCCAACCATTTCAAGCAATTGCCAAATTTTTTAGTTTTGGCAAAATTTACAAAGGCTACAAATTGATGGGTCCGGATTTTGACGGAGGAGTATTCAAATCTACAGGGGTGAACCAGGCACCACAAAACTACCTTTGCTTCTGTCAGAAACCACCCCTGTTCGCAGAAACTTGAGTTTAAAGAGCTTGTCTCTCTAATGGGTGGGTAGGCTACCTAAGGCGCACTGGCTAAGAACTCTGCTTTAGTGGGTTGCCACCATGATATGTAGACAGAGCAAGTGAAAAGAGAGTGCCCAACCAATCCAAACCAATTTCAGAAATTTTCCAAGTTGTCAAGACTTTTAAAAGACATTTTCAATGATAACAAATCAGCCTGGATTTTAACAGAGGATTGAAATAGACAACAAAGAACCAAGGCACCAGAAAAAACATCAAAAACCACCCTTTGATGCACACAAAGACAAATTGGACCAAGCGTTGGTTACCGTCATGTCAACTCACCTATTCCTTTGGGTAAAATGACTCCGCAGAGACTTCTTTGCTCATGTCAAGAACATTTCTAGTCCGATAGTTCCTGCAATCATATTAAACAGTACTTTTAGCGCTCATCAACTATTAATTACATATAATTTAGTAATATAATACACTTTTAAACATGCCTCTCCCCCCCATACGTATCTAAATGACCATGGTCTTCTAGTTTGGCACTGGAATCAAGTATTAAGTATGAAGGGGCAACTGCAAATTAGCTGCGACGCACATTGATTGATTGTTTGGGGGATTAGGCAAATGGTAATTACCATTTGGTTTGCACCCGAACCAGAAAGTAAAAAAAGTTTTCTGTTCCACGAGAATGATATATTATATGATAAAACACTTGACAGTTCGCCCATTTGCAAATGACCTACATCAGTATTTAACATACTGCCTGGAATGGAGGAGGACCCATTCGACACCTTCTCAACAAAGCTGACGTACATGTCACTGCAGTGACTGCAGTGAGCCAAGTTTACATCAAGGGGACTTCATTTACTCGCCCTCAAAATATTTAACTTACAACTTGTGCGTGTAAAATAATGGAGCCACTTAGCCATTGGAGTACACTAACTTCCTACAACAATAACCGGCCCGGAAACAATCAAGCACTATACCTTGCGATTTATATAGAAAATCGGCGATGTCCACTTTAAAACTCTGATTATTAAAATCCTATAATCAATTAAATGAGTAGATATTATCGGTATTGGGCAGAGGGCGCCGATCATGACACCGATGTTTACTGTTTGTTTACGTTTCCATAAAGGCAAGGCGCGGGAAATGCGGGGCAGGGAGCAGGAGAGGGGTAGGGGACGCGGCACGGCAAAGGGGGGGGGGGGGTAGCAATAATTATGGCAGAAGTTCTGATCAGACGACGATACCAACGATACTCACCGACATGTCGTAGTCACGGGATGTGATTCTTTTGGGGCTCCACTCCCGACCCTTGCAACATGTGGCCGCAGATAATGGGGAACCTCAGGGAAGAGCTGCGGCCTGCGGCCCAAGGACGCCCGGGGTTACTGGCTACCAAATTTTTGTGTTTTAAAACGACTCCGTCTCTCCAAACATTCAAAGGCTCGACCCCGTGAGTGCGGCTGGTGCAAGGGCTGGTGGCGCTTACGCAGCGTAGCCACGTCACGTCACGTCCCTCGCAGTGCGTCCCCAGGGGCGCGGAGCGCGGCGGAGGGGTGTCCAGGTCCGGGGTGTGTCTCCTCGAGGATAGGAGGGTGGCGGGGGCGATATCTTTGATCTTTGTGCGGTGCTCCGTCGCGTGTGAAAATGAGGAAATTACTGCAGACTAATGACGCTCGGGGAGGAGAGGAGCCTCTGCGCCAATCACGGCCCGGGGGTGTCGTCGTGGTGTGGCGTCGCGTCGAGGGCGAGGGACGTCCAAGGGGCGTCCCAGGGAGGTCATGGCACTGCTGAGACGGCTGACGACGGTCCCGGGCGACGTTCAGCGACAGCCAACCAATGCTCAGTGCAACGTGAACCATTTCTCCGCCACAGCCAGGCTTGTGTCCCGGGGGGCTAGAGGGAATTCCCCATTAACGGGGAGGTCTTATATGTCTTTGTACGAAGGTTTTGTGCACAGGTGAAGCTACGTTCCGTTCCGAAACAAAGCGGTGCTAAAAAATTGTATGATTTCGTTCACTTGAAATATTAAATGCACAAAAGTGCTGCTCAAATCAACGCAGAAATGAGGGCTTTATGGCTGGCCGAGAAGATGGTCGGTCCGGTCGCCACCAATGGACTGGGTGACTTGGGGTGACTCACCCCGCCGCCCGTCTCGGCTTGTCGTCCACAGTGGCGGCGGCACGGCCTAGAGCCCCTTGCCCCTTGTCCGCTGGTCTATTAGACACGTCCGCCTCGATATCGGCCCGGCTAGAGGACGCACTTGTCAGTCGGCGATAAAGTCGCTCCCTCCGCCTCGTCCCTCCCTGACGCCATGCTTGGGGCGAACACCGGTAATATGGATGTGGGGGCGGTGCGGGCACGTGGCGCGCGAGGGGCGGCAAATATAGTACATACATAGTACGGTACATTCAAATTGTGTTTTGACGGGAGACAAAATTCCGAATTGTTCGGAGTTTTGCCTTGTCAAGGGAGTATTATTGCACAAATTGACTGTACTCAATTTCTTTGACGAGCCTGGAGGCATTATACATTTTCCAGGGAAAGTGATATGGGCAAGAAACCCGAGAAGAATGCAGAGCCTCAATTAGTAACCCATTTTAATTCACAGGCGAAAAGAAAAATAATACACTGTACACAGTATAAAAATCTGAATACAATTTACAAAAATACATATCCACACAAGAACATATGTACACATAGAAACAGAACAAAATTTTGACGTAAGCATTGTCAGGGCTAAATACTGTCCATTTATAAAATGATAATTATCTTTTTCAAACACAAGTACAGGTAAATAATAAGAGAGTCAATCAATGAACTTTCAAAAACAAAAAGGGCACAAGAAAACATTTTAGTGTCTAATTCTTACTGCAGTCTGACAACATGTTTTTATAAAAATGTTACAAAAATCTACGTTAGTGCTTACCACTTCTGGCAAGTTTAACGAGTCGGATAAATAAATGACAATTTTAAAGATTACTTGACAATGTGAAAATTGGACAAAAAAATACACAAATGGTACAAAAACGTAATATATGAATGACTTGAAAGATTTAACACACTTCTAATTGACATTAGAAACAAATCTGTACAATGGCAGTTAGTTAGGACAGTCATAAGTTATTTCCTACTGAAATCATGCTCCAGTACCATGGGTACTTGATAGGTGCAAGTAATAAACAGGTCGGTTATAAGAGGGTTTCACTGTGAAAGAATATGGAACAAATTTAAATGATGCCGATCTCAGGACAGTGATCAGGCAGTGATATAAGAAGGGAGTTTGAAAGTATGTTTCCTTTTCTAACAAGAAAGAATTAATAGAAAACAGTCTAGAGGAATATGTTTGATTACATCTTTTGACCTAACAGTCTCTTTACAACTAACTTTGAGATCACAGGTTACTTTGTTCCTTAACATACAACATAATAAATATTTCATTTACATAGATTTAATTCATATCTACACTATGAATGTACATTTGACAAATAACATAACAATCACATTTTCTAATGGATATATAGTTCTGGCACAGTTATACAAATAACAGTAAAGACTGATGACTTTGTTGGATGCACACATTTTTAGAGTATTCAGGTAAAAATGAACAGTTGAATTTTGTGGCAAATGATGTACACCAACCATATCACAATATTTAAAGAACTCTCAATTTATATTAAGGTCAAACTTAACAAAAAATTGACAATCTTTAACTAAAAGACTTACACATATCGTGTCAATTGAGTGTAGAACTCCTGAAGGCAAGCATTAAGTTGGTGGAAAGTTGGTCTCTCTTCACTACTCATTGCCCAACAGTAAGCCATCACAGCAAATCTGAAACAAGTCATGAAAGGTAAGAATTGTCTTGCTACATACATAAAACACTAATATTTGAAATTACTTTCATTGACTACTTACAATTCGTCAGGGCAGTTAACTGGCTGGGCTAATCTGTACCCATCTCGAAGGTAAACTTCCATCTCAAATGGATCTATCTCAACGTATGGTTGCTGGGCCAAAGTTGTTAGCTCCCAAAGTAGAACTCCAAAAGACCACTGAAAAGAGATATATTCATCTATTAATAAACATACTAGAAAATGAAGAAAGCATAACAAAATGAAGACAACAGAAGCATCTATCTTCAACAGTATTTCAAACACTTTCTTACCACATCAGATGCTGTAGTAAATGTCTTGTGGGAAAGACTTTCAATGGCCAGCCATTTCACAGGTCGATTCTCATTGTCTCCTAGGCATTGATAATCTGCAGGGAACAGATCTCTGGCTAGGGCATTGTCTGTGATTTGTACTCTGAGTTTATCATCAACACTGCAAGATAAAACAAATACACAAAATTAGTATTGATACATTTTGCCCAAGGATACGGTCGCTTTTCAAATGCAACGGTGTGCTGCCGAGTACTTACACACAGTTGCGGGCCGAGAGGTCGCGGTGCAGCAGCCTCTTGCGGTGCAGGTACTGCATGCCGGTGGTGATCTGCAGAGCCATGTCCACCACCTCCTGCGTGGTCAGCGAGTGCGCGATGCCCTTGGGGCACAGCTTGCACTTCTGCAGGAAGCGCTTCAGGTTCTGGTGGTTGCGGAGCGGGTACAGCAGGAAGGGCGCCGTGTGGTCCTCGATCGACACGCCCAGGATGGACATGACGTTCTTGTGGCTCACGCCGTACATGGCCATGCCCTCCTGCAGCAGCAGCGAGACCTGCACCTGCGACGCGTGGTCCGTCACCGTCTTGACGAGCACCTCCTGCTCGACGCCCTCCTCGTCGGCGTACGAGCCGCGGTACACGCGGCCGAACGTGCCCTCGAGCACGACGCTGCGCAGGCGGACGCGGCACCGCTGGATGGTGAGCTGGGCGATGCGCTGCTGCAGGTCCTCGTGGTGGTCGGGCGAGCGCGAGTGCGGCGCGTGCTCGTCCAGGGGCGTGTAGGCGCTGGAGCACGACGTGTAGGCCGGCAGCCTGTCGAGCCGGTCGGGCAGGCGGCGGAAGGACGCGTAGCTGCCCGACTTGCAGCTCGACGCGGCCGTCCAGTTGTTGACGGGGGCCGCCAGCAGCCCCGGCTCGGCCAGGAAGGTGGCGTGGCCCTGGGCCGACGAGCTGGACGAGCCCAGGCGGGACTCCTGCAGCATGTCGCCCTGGCGGCGCAGCTTGCGCGAGCGCGTGTAGTAGATGGTGAGCCCGGTGACGAGCAGGGCGATGAGCAGGCAGGCGCACCCGACCGCGATGTAGAACACGGACGCCGTGGGCAGCGGCACCGCCGTCTGCTCGGGGTCCGTCCCCGCCGCCGCCCCCAGGCTGCCTCCCGCCGCCGAGCCGCCTCCAGCTGCGCCCGGCGCCGCCCCCGGTCTCGTCACGGTGCGATCGGCTGCGAACAGAGACAAAGCAGTTAGATATCAAGTCATACAGGGAGAAGTAGCAGCAAAGTGCGAGCCTGCTGGCAGCAGCTGGATACTCGACGCTGCTCACCTTTCAGGCAGATCTTGCGGCGGCGGAACGTGAGCGCCTTGATGTTGTCCTTGGCCAGGGTCACGTTGACGCGCAGCACGACGTCCACCTCGGCGGCCACGTCCCCGGAGCAGGGCAGCAGCACGCTCCAGGTCTCGGGCGCCGTGGGCACATGGCCCGACACGGACATGTTGAGGCGCGGCGAGGGCAGCGCCTCGCGATTGTTGACGTCCAGGCTCACGGAGTAAGGGAGCTGCAACAGGAGGAGGACCGACAGTCAGCAAGGCGGCGGGTAATGTTTGCGCTGCGCCCTCCAGGCTTTAAACACGTGTCATCATCACTCGAGATATGCCCCTTCTTATCATGGCTGCAACGACACATTCCTAGCTAGAGGCGCGCCCGGCCCTACGCAGCGTCGCCACCCCTTCCAGTGCGCCCCGCCCGCGCCCCGCGCACCATGTTTACAAGCTACCGGAGCGAGCGGTGCAGGCGGTGCGTGCTCGTGCCCCGGCCCCGCTAATCCCACCGCCATCTCGCTAACAACCCGCACTGGCACCCGCAGGGACTCGCACTGCTAATTGATCGTCAGATCGGCAAACAGCGCGGCGCTGCAGGTCGCGCGGGCGGGCGGGCGGGGCGCGGGGCGGTCGCTGCGCGGGGGCTGTGGGGGTGGGGGGCGCCATGGACCTCCGCAGTCGCAGCCACAGCCACACGGCCGTCGTAGGCAAACATGTCGAGGACATGTCACGAGTATGCTCACTTTGCTCGTCGTATCGCGCAGCCGTGGCTCGAGTTACCAGAAAACACACATAACCCCCCCCCCCCCACCTTCCCCTACTCCACAATCATACAACGCACCACAATCTGTACCTTCCAGCGCCCCAACATCTTCTCTACTGGATATACCTTCCCCCGCCCCACCTCCCGGACAAACACACGAGGCACGGTGCGCTGCATGCTGGGAGACACGAGCGAGTAAACAGCTGCCGAGTAGTACGGGCAAATGTTTATCCGGGCCCAGGCTGGCGCAGCGCTACGTAAGTACGAGTCCCTTGCTGCTCTCTCCCCACGGCACCTGTCTGGTGGCGGGGCGAGCGTGACGCGGCGCGCCGGGGACGCGACGAACCAACGAACCAACTTGTCACTCCCCGACATTCCAACTGTCCAATCGAGCCCCACCGCCCCGGTCACCACGCGCCCGCCGTCAGGGCCGTCAGGCGGCGTCCCTTGAGGGGCACCGCCAGCGTTGCGCCCGGCGGCGTCCACTCCGCGCCCGCCCCGCCCCGCCCAGTCCGGCCCTACACAATGCACGACACCTACCGGTCGGCCGAGGCTCTGCCAAGTGAAGGCCAGGCTGTCGATGTGCGCCGGCACGGGCACCACGAAGTTCAGGGCGTACTCGTTGATGACGCCCTCGCGCACGTAAAACAGCTCGGCAGAGAGTCCTGCAACATGAAAAAGAGAGAGCGGGGCATAAGAAACCGGAGAAAGAAAACCGTGACAGGGAGTATACATGGTACAAGAGCATAAAGTCAGACGGCCTCCTCAGTCCCCCCGCTGGGCGCGCTCGCTGGGCTCGCAGGGCCCGTTGGGGACCTCTCGGGGCCCCCTGGGCTGACCCCCTCCGGGACCCTGCAGATTGCAGCCATGATAGGGACAAGGTTCGATACGAGCGCGCGGTAGCGCAGGTGGGGAGGGAGGGTACCGACCCACAGGCAGGGACCCGAGCAGGGACACGGGACAGGCGGGTAATGTATGGCTGGACCCGGGGCCCCTGGTGGGCGTGGCGTGGCGGGGCGTGGCGGGGCGTGGCGGGGCGCAGGGACACCACCAGCTCCAGTAGCGCGCAGCGTTGCAAATGGCCGGTCGGTCGGCGACACGACGCGACGCCCCGCGCCCCGCTCAGGCAGGGCGTCGCCAAGCAGGCGTCGCCCCGCGGCCCACTCGACCCGCCTCCGGAGCCTCTAATTAACGAGCTCCCTCGATAAAATGTCCTTAAAATTCCGCCGCAAGTGGTAACTTGTCTCCGTTTTGGGGTAGGTACCCACAGGGCCCCTCTCTCAGGCTCTTCGATCACTGTAGGAGCCGTGGCCGCCTAGCTTGACAACATTTTGGCACTCCTTTTTGACTATGCCAAATTTGAAGTTCTCTTTTGGAGACTGCCTCGGAGACCTTGTCAAAATTTGGCCTTCCAAGCTGGCCTTCTTAGAAAAAGAGATCAAAACGGTCAAAATTTAGCATTCAAAAAGGTGCGCCAAAATGTTAGCAAGCTATTAGCTTATATATAGCTTGTAGGCGACCACGGCGTTTAGAGTTATATGAGGGTCAGTTCTACGCCTCACACGCTGAGGTGCACATTCCCTATCACATTTCCAATGCACCCGATACAGACGCCCGCCCCCGCCGCAGTTGGACGGATTTCATTTCTTCCCAGAGCAGCTCCATTTTCTGGTCACATCGCCAGCGACCCTATCGAATGTAAATTTCCTGGTCTCGAAAAGCGACACCATATCTCTATGGCCAGCAGGTGGACGACTTTGACGAGATGCAGGAGGGAGAGAGAGAGAGGGAAAGGTAGGGGTGAGAGAGCAGTATAGGGAGCCCGACCGATCCCTGGGGAAGGAGTGACGAGTATCATTGCTGCAAAGGCCAGGGTGTGTCAACCTGTCACCCCAGACAAACGTCATGTCTGTATTTGCGTCCCCTCATCTAGTGCATCTGTGTGTGTGTGAGTGTGTGTATGTGTGCGTGCGCCCGGAAGGTTTGGGACTGTCGTCGTCAGTCCGCCCGTTTGCCAGTCAGGCCTGGGGGACAAAATGTTTGTTTGGCTTCAACTTTTTGTGTGTGTGTTGGAGGGAGGCTCCCAGAGCCCCACCCACATCCACACGCCAGCGATGAGGTCTCCGACCGATCGCTCGAAAAAAGGAAAGGGGGACGTAAAACCATCGGGGCACATTATGGCCTCGAAAAAAAAATTGGGAGGTTTTTGAACGAAACGGGGGGAAAATCTCACACATTTCGTGGAAAATATACATCGTGCGGCGGCAGTTGCGAGGGCGGAGCGGGAACTTTCACCGCCGTTTTAAATGACAGATTTAGGAGGACGGCCCTATCCGCTGCTCGTCCCCACCCAGGAGCAAAAACAATAAAGACTCGGAAGTGCCAAGAACCGACGGCGGGTTTTACACGCCACCCGGCCACACGTGAGCTGCGATAGGGCGTCCACGGTTCAGCTGAGAGGAAGCTGCTGCCGCCGACACCACCCTGGCCTGGGTCCTGGCCTGGGCGCACTCTAACAAGAATAATATTTCGGCCGCCATGTGGCCACCAGGGCAGCTGCGGGGCCTGCCGCCGGCCGGGTGGGGCCTGGGCCTCCTGACCAGCACCAAAGACCACCGCGCATCACAAGAGGCCCCCTGCGCCCTGCACTGCGTCAAGTAGGCAGAGGACCACACAAAACTAAAACTGTCCAACTCGGCACAGAGACCCCCCCAATGTGTAGAAGAAGTAAAACAAAAATTATGCAGGCAGAGGATTCTCCGTACGTCCGGAGGGTTGGGTAGGCCAGCACATTCGTGTTGTAATGGTTCTGCTGAGTGTCACGTTCAGAGCCACACATGGAGATGATGCTAGGCCAGCAGTCTGGGTCCTGGAGGCAGATGGGGGGGGGGGGGGGGGCTGGCAGGAACACGACGAGGCGGCCCCGTTCGAGGGGGGGGCAAGATGGAGCCCCCCATCCCCCCCGCAGTCCGGGATGACAGCGAAAAACAACCGACAAGCTAAACTCGGGCACGGCGTGGCTTGGAGTAGTGGATGGATGGTTTTGCACGCACATAAGCAGGAGGAAATGCAGGAGACGGGGGGTGGGGTGGGGTATGGAGGGGGGAGGGAGCGTGAGGACGCCAAGGAGGGGGACGCCACCCCTCCCTCTCCGTGTCGAGCTGCTTAGTCGAGGGAGAAAGACATTATTATTAATTCCACGTCGGGAGAAAATTGCACCACTACCAACCAACACCCGGTTTGTTCGCCCTCAAAAAACACGCGCCACGCGTCGATACAAAGACTCATTTTCCAATTTTTTCGAAATAACCCGCGCGCAAAAAAAAAGGAAAGAGAGCAGCAGGAAACTCCTGCGGGCGTTACTTAGCAAAATTAAAAGTAAAATAAAACTGGGTGCTTTCTCGTTGCAACAGCTGCTGTGCGTCGGGACGTTGTCGTCGCCACTTCGCACCTCGTCGCCCCGGCTTTTTCGGCCCCACCCGTATCACCAATTAGGAAGCAGGGGCCTAACTCGCACGGCCGGGCCCGCGAGATACGGGGTTGTGATCGGAGCCCACGGGCCTCGGCGGCCATTAGTATGCATCGACGACAGCGAGGCGCGCACATCAGGCAGCTGATCATCGGCGAAAATAAAAAATAAATTATAAGCCGATAGCGGGACTTTGAGAAATAATTGTAGAACGAAACCCGCGGTTGAAACAATTTGGCCAATTGGCAGGTGAAACAAGGTGTTTGTAGCGACAAAACAAGCAACGAAGGACGCCAAGGCTGTTGTTGCTGCAGTGAGGAGTGCATGGGACGGGAGGTGGGGGAGGAGGGAGAGAGTCCTTTCGATGACTTGCTGACTCCAGAATGTGTGGGCGGACGTGGGTGGGGAGGAGGGGGGTGCTGCAGCTCGGAGAAAAAACGCACGAGGGGAAGAGGTGAGGTTGAGGAGGGGGGGGGGGGGGCTAAACCAACAGACCCTCGTCACCGGACACGTCGTAAAGCGGAGCTCTGCTGCACGGCCACGCACGGCTCCAAGCCAGCCAGCCTCCTTACAGGGTGTTCCAGACAGCAACAGAAATAGACGCCACCGGAGAAACTTTCAAATGTAGGGGTACGAATTTGGTGCAAAGTAACGTCGACTTGCTAATGTAAACAGAAGCGTTTCTGCGTGCATCGCGTCGCTCTCAACCAACAGGGGCCAAGAAGAAAAGGAAAAGAAAACAACAAAATAAATTGGTAAGCCCTTCCCGTTCTGACCACATGGCCGCACTCGTATGCCCCATCCATCAGTTTTCTTATTATTTTCTCCCGCATGAGTGGGCCTCTCCTCTCCACCCCTCGTCCCTCCCCCGGCTATCGTCACGGCCCCAGCCGATCTCGGAGAAGCCCCTACACCATCAGTCAAGGCCAAAGGGCGCCCCCCGAGGACTCCGCAGGAGGCCCCGGGGAAGGACCCGCCTGATAAGGAAGGGGTAAGAGCCCCTCCAGGAAGGCAGGGAGGACAACAAGTCAACGCAGTGATAAGGAAGGCGATAAAAATTTCCGCTCCAAGCAAGGCGACCTGCTGCCTGGAACCGAACTGTGTGTGCGAAACACGACGCCTTCCTACCTGTGTGTGTATTAGGGGGGGGGGGGGGGGCAGGTGACTGAGAACAAGACAAACAGGACGCACTGCCAAGCTATTGGCTGAAACAAGGCGCACGGCAAAAACTCTGGGTTCTTCTGACAATTACTTGAGACAAGTGCATTTGCCGAATTGATGATGGTTCCAACCACCCTCGGCGACAAAAGAGCGCTCAGCGGCTACCGCTACTTTAGGTCCCAACGCGGAGAGACCTCGACGCAGCGCGTTGTAGGTAAGGAAGGAGAAAGATGGGGAACCGATTCGATTTTCAAGATGGCCGCCCCGAGTGCAGCACCGCACGCTGGTCGAACGGAAAGCCGAACAGGCGGCCACTTACGGCCCCCACTAATGAGGGACCATTAGGGGGGACAATATTTGTCGGGCTGCGAGCGTGTGCGTGTGTGTGTGAGAGAGGGGGGGGGGGGCACACAAAAGAACAGTGCGTGACCAAAAGAGGTATGACACGAGATGGGGGACTGACCCAATAATTGTCGTTATTGAACGAGTTCAACAGTTGTTGCCACTTAGCCAACAGGTTTTCAAACGAAACGCTATTTACTCCAGTCCTTTTTCCTGTTTTGTTGTGTCCACAAACAGTATGTGCTGGATGAAACACGGTTGTCTCACACACACACACGCACGCTAAGAAACTGTAACGAGTACAGTATAGTCAAGGTTAGCCGTGCTTTAGTGGTAGAGGTGGTTTAAAAATCCAAGAGTAGGACAAAAACTCCCCCAAATGCAAGTTCCTACCGTTGTAAGAATAGGACAAGAAAGCCTTCATCTCGTGCATTTTTCAGAGTGTAGGGGGATAGGGGTGGTCGGGGGATGGGGCGTTTAGAACGTGACGCCAGCGACACCTCAGTTTCCCACGTGTGTGAGGGTCGCGCTGGGCCCGCACCCCTCCCTCCCTCCTCCCTCCCCTCAACAGCTGCCCGCCCCCGAGCGGGGTGGGTGGGTGGGGGTGCGCCAGTTTGGCACGACACACTCGGCCCCATTAGGAGGGGTGAGGGCCACACTGTCTTTCCATAAAATAGGAATGCCGCTG